ACGAAACGTAACGAAACGTAACGAAACGTAACGAAACGTAACGAAACGTAACGAAACGTAACGAAACGTAACGAAACGTAACGAAACGTAACGAAACGTAACGAAACGTAACGAAACGTAACGAAACGTAACGAAACGTAACGAAACGTAACGAAACGTAACGAAACGTAACGAAACGAACGAACGAAACGTAACGAAACGTAACGAAACGTAACGAAACGTAACGAAACGTAACGAAACGTAACGAAACGTAACGAAACGTAACGAAACGTAACGAAACGTAACGAAACGTAACGAAACGTAACGAAACGTAACGAAACGTAACGAAACGTAACGAAACGTAACGAAACGTAACGAAACGTAACGAAACGTAACGAAACGTAACGAAACGTAACGAAACGTAACGAAACGTAACGAAACGTAACGAAACGTAACGAAACGTAACGAAACGTAACGAAACGTAACGAAACGTAACGAAACGTAACGAAACGTAACGAAACGTAACGAAACGTAACGAAGCGTAACGAAGCGAAATTCGAAACGTCGAGTGTGCATACCCTAACCTAACCTTCGTTCACGTGAACGCTTATCGCATGGCCATATGACCATCCTAAATGCTAATCATTGCCACTACGCATGTGTACTGAAGGTAGCAGCCAAGAATGATTTTGAGAAAAATTTCATCATACTTTATTATATACTAACCCACGTGACTCTTTACTAAACCACGTGACTGGAGCATAGAACCACGTAAAACTTCTTCAACATTTATTTAGATATACCGCGTTAGCTAACTACATTAACAAATACTTAAAGTTTATTCGGTATAAATGAGTTCTTTAACAAAAAGTATCAAAATTGTTGGTTTGGGTTAAAATGCATCGATTTTATATAGTTTCTTATAAAAAAACCCTAATTCAATAAAATTATAGCCTTTTTGATAAAAATTATCAAACAAAAATTCGGAGAGCTTTTTAATATCTTAAAGTATTAAAATTGTCGATTTGGGTTAAAATGTTCCATTTTTACATGGTTTCTTATGGTGAATAACGCACAAATTTGATCAATTCAGAGGCCTTCTTAAAAACTTTTTAAACCGTTCAGTCTTCCGTCCGACCAGCAGTTTACCTTATACCTATTAACTTTTGTCATTCTGTTTCAGATTATTAAAGTATTAGAAAGTATCCGGCATCTACAACTTTTGAAATATACATTTTCTGATTTTTAAAATATTAGAGTGCATCCTACCTCTAATCTCCAACATTTGTAATATTGGTTACTTTTACATGTAAGTATACATTCTTCAATTCCTATTGAATAATTTAAGCTATTAAGGTGTTGACTAAATCTGAGTTTTAATCATTTTTGAAAATTTTGAGATTTTGAAAGTTTTGCGTTAGTAATTTTTGTTAAATTTTGAGTTAATAAATTTTATATTTCAACGATAATAAGTATTAAAATTGACTATTGTTGGTAGAAAAACCGTACTTTTGGTAACAAATTCTATTAAAAAAGTCCCCATCCTAACGTCTAAATAAGCACAACTTTTACGTGTTTTCTTACGGTGAAAAACGCACAAACTACTTTAAAGGGTCTTTCTGTTTGCAAAAAAAAATATTTAAACATTTAGTTTTTCGTTCAAGTAGAAGTTTACAATATCAGATCACACTCGTTTGATTTCTAATCTTTTTGTGACTCAGCTTATCTGATCAGCAGACTTTAAGAATCGTAAATTTATTTTATTTGCTACAATCCCATGACAACCCAACATACATCGCAGACCGAATCCAGTCGAGGTGGGTTCCGTCGCACGT